GAATAAATGACGAGAGAACGTTTTCTAAGAATATATGGGAAAGCTGTTAAAAAAGAACAGTTGTAACAGCTACTTGTTTAGGACGTTAGTGTAGAGAGTGACTTCTTAAAACAAATAGAATGTTGAATAGAATGAAGTCTAGTGCCTTCCAAAGTGAAAGTATATACAGTGAATAGAATGAAGTCTAGTGCCTTCCAGAGTGATAGTGAAGTATATACAATATATACATAGATCACCTCTTTATTTTAGACCATCATTCGTGGTATCTGTAAACAGGACATCGTGATCAGAATAACTGAACAAAACTGCGAATAAAGATCTTTCTTCAATTCCTGCCGGTATATCTCAGTTATGTTTAACAAAACAGGCTCAGGTTTCACCTCACTGAGGAAGTAAATTGAAGATTTTAATTCATTACCTATACTTCTTTTTACAGTATTGCTTAGTGATGCACCATGGGAGTTTTCCAGGAAAATATATACGCCATGGCTCCAAAAAAAAAAAAGATGAGGAAGCATTGATTTCCCAAGTATTTGTTTTACCTGCAACATATCATTGAAATAGACTGGACACAAGGGGGGGAAAAATAGAGTAATTTTACACTGGGGTAAATGAGCTCAAAAGCTGCCTTTGTCGTCTAATGTGTTGTAATTGAACGCGTAACACCTGTTGTGTTTACGCTCGTTGGCTCCTGTTTCCCCGCGAGTGTTGTTTTGTGCAGAAGTGACAGACAGTCAGGTAAACACACGGGCTCCCCCCGACTGCGCTGTTCACTGACTTTGAGGGCGATGACTCTCTGAGGAGGCGAACAGGAATAACTGCAGCGCAGATGCATTGACATTCGCCGAACAGCTGCGTTGTCACAGCTGGGACGCTGACATGTCACTCAACGTGGTCAGCTTGAAAGCTGTCAGCTCCACCAATTTAAGGAAGTTCAGTTATTTATATTCCAGGAATATACAGAACAGAACTTTGTCATAGTTAGGAATTTTAATTTATCTAGATCAGGGCTGTCAAACTCATTTTCACTGGGGGCCACAATGTAACTGGAAGACTGTATAGATTAGGGGTCCCCAACGCCCGGTCCGTGGGCCAGTACCGGTCCATCATTTGGAACCAGGCTGCACTGGGACATAGTTTAAAAATGTGCTTAATTTTTACTAATTTACTTCATTCAAAGAATGTCCAGTCAGATCCGTTTGCTTTTTTTATTTAAAGAATTTCAATTAAAAAAAGATGTAATAATAAAACTTTTAATCTCTCAGGTTAAGGTCCTGCGGGCCACATAAAATGGCTTGGCGGGCCGCATTTGGCCCCCGGGCCTTGAGTTTGACACGCATGATCTAGATGAATCCTTATTAATCGTGATTAAATGTGATTAATCAGATGAAATTTAACTGCCGTTTTAGTTTCGTTTTAGTTTAGTTTGG